TTCCTCCCTCTCTCTCTCCCTCCCTTCCTCCTTCTCCCTTCCTTCCTTCTCCCTTCCTTTTTTTTTTTTAATGGAAGCTTCATTACATAGGTATGATTGATTAAATAATTGCCCATTGGTGATTGAACTCAATCTCTAGCACCTCTCTCCTCTTGCGGTGGGGCTTACAGTTCCCAGCCTGGAATCAGAGTTGGTTCCCCAGGCAACCAGTCTCTACCCTTAAGGACTTTCCAAAAGTCACTTTAATAACTTAAATTCAAATGTGGTTGAAGGGGCTTGTTACAAATAACAAGACACTCCTTTCACCTTTATTGCTCTGGAGCTATTTCAGGAGCTGGGAACAAAACCAAATATGATAATAAAAGATGCTCCTAGTAATGAAGGATGGTTGGAAGAAAGGCAGGAAGTGACAAGTGGCACCCTCCCCCCACCAAGAGGAGACCACCCTTAAAAGGATTTTACACCACCCTGGAGGGAGCCCTCCACCCTTTCCCACCTGGTAGATAGATGACGAAAACCTTATTGGGTGACAGGTGCATGGATGGTTAATCAGATTAAAATAACCTGCCAACAAGTCCATAAAACTCTTCACACCTAGAAACCTGGGGCAACCCTCTCAGGTCCCCTTCCTCTTTGGGAGCTTTGCACTATTGCCCAATAAACTTTACTACGGCTCAATGAACTTTGCTCTGCTGCCCACCACTCTTTGTCTGGTCTACCTCTTCATTCTTTAAAGCAGCCTGACTGAGAACTGCGGGCACTGAAGGAAAAGAAATCCTGTTACACCAGTGCTCTTATCAACACTTAGGAAATTCCTAGGGTTTTAGGAGCCCTGTGCCAGGAAAAGGGATGAAGACTAAATACACATTTCTTACATTAAAAGATACAAGGAAAGGGGGTTTCATTTCTTACTGTAGAGACACTGTAAAGTTGTGGCCTTTGCTTGTAAGGGGACCCTCTTGCCCCTCTTTCTTATTGTTTTATGATGTTGAGTATTGAATAGCAGAACATGCCACCCCAAAATATGCCACTGTAGCATAAGCATTATTTTGAGCTGAAGGCAATTGAGAAGAAGCAGATACAAGAAAAGCTCTCTGCCCTCCTCCTATTTGCCTAAAAGTGGGACATAACTTTGTAGATGTGCCCTCCCCCATAAGGGAAGAACAGAAGAACTCTAGATTCTTATCAACCCAGAGAGGGCACCAGAAGAATCTACCTAACTTTATTTTATTAACTAAACATTATTTTTATTAATTCCCTCATACATTTTTACCTTCCCACAATTTGCAGCCCTAGAAACTCAAAGTCCTTTTTCTTTGTCTTGTCACTTCTCTAAAAGTGTATTCCTTTTTTCGTAAAATGCTGTTGTAACAAAGTAACAGGTCCCAAATGGAGTCACTTTATTAGGCCCCACATCACCAAACTTTACAGTTTTGGCTTTTCTAGAAATGGAATCAGTCAGGAATTGCCTAATTAGCATTAGTCAGGTAATGTACCTGATATATCCCTGTCATCCTCTAAAGGAAAATGACCTTGACATCACCAATCAGCTTTTTGTCTAGTATAACTTCCTAGTTCCTGCTCCCATCTGCCTATAAATGTCTTTCATTTTGTATAGCTTCTTGGAGCTCCTTTCTGTTAGACTGAATATGCTTAATTCATGAATTATTAAATAAAGCCAGTAAGATCTTTAAAATGTAAGCAGTTGAATTTTGTTTCTTACCATGATATAAGCCCAAGTTCTAACCACCCCTTTGAGTTACTCATAACTGAGTACTGCCATGTGTCTATGTGAAGCATATGTTAATAAAGTTGTGTGTTTTCTCTTGTTAATCTGTCTTTTTTCAGTCTAATTTACAGGGTCAATAAAACTAAGATGGTTAGAAGGAAATTTTTCCTCTCCAACAGTATTTTTGTGATAAAAATCCTAAGGTCTATTCTGACTTCACCTTTAATTTCTAAATTTGTTTTGCCCCTTGAGAGCCATCTGAGTTGCAGTCTTTTAGTGCCATCTCTTGCATGTCCAAAATATTGGGGCTCTGTGGTTTGCCCAACTTTTAGTCAGAGATATAGAAGAAGCATAGTTAATTACCAGTATTAATGATTGTTAAGAGCAAATGTTTTTTTTTTAAAGATTTTATTTATTTATTTGACAGAGAGAGACACAGCGAGAGAGGGAACACAAGCAGGGGGAGTGGGAGAGGGAGAAGCAGACTTCCCGCCCAGGAGGGAGCCCGATGTGGGACTCGATCCCAGGACCCTGGGATCATGACCTGAGCCAAAGGCAGACACTTAACGACTGAGCCACCCAGGCGCCTAAGAGCAAATGTTTACAGAACATTTACTGTGTGTTAAATACTATGTTAAGTGCTTAATGTCAACGTCTCATTTAATCCTCAAAACTGTTACAAAAATTCAACCAAATAAAATTTGAAGACCTATTTTTTTTTAAAGATTTTATTTATTGACAGAGAGAGCACAGAGGGAGCAGCAGGCAGAGGGAGAGGGAGAAGCAGGCTCCCCACTGAGCAAGGAGCCTGATGCGGCACTCGATCCCAGGACCTTGGGATCATGACCTGAGCTGAAGGCAGCTGCTTAACTGAGTCACCCAGGCATCCCTAGTATTTTTTTTTTTTTTTGATTCATGAATTGGGCATTTCATCTTGCAAATAGAGAACTCTGGGGATTTTACAAAATGGAGGGTTTTTATAGAAAGAGGGTAGGGCAAGAAAGTTATTAGCCAAAGGAAAGGATCGTTTAGACCACTTTTCCAGTGGTGAAAGCAAGAGGTCTTATCTTCCTTAGGGGTATGGAGAGGGCCCCTGTGGAAGACTCACTGGTGCTGACTGAAAAATTCTTAACTGACTGGTTAAGACTACATTTCCGGGAGAGGCTGAAACTGCAATTAGATTATGTATTAAGCCCTTGTTTGGGGACTCAGCCTAAGGCACCATTTTGGGCCTGTGCTTTTCTTTTTAACACAACATTCCAGCAATCCTGGTATTGTTATTTCTATTTCATAGAAAAGGAAAATGAGGCTGCATGACTAACCCTAGAACCTGCACTCTTATCCATTATTCTGGATGTGAATTTTTACACATATTCTGATTTAAACTACTGAAATAAATTAGGATTAGCAATTTCCTATTGACAGATCAAAAATATTTCAGTGATTATAGAATCATAAACTGAACACAGAACAAAATCTTTTCTTGCTGTTTTAAGTAGTCCAGAAAAGCTTTAGTTTATTATATTGGTGTTTGAGTTTGCAGGTCTCAGAAAAGGATGCACTCAGTAAGTGAATTTGATATTTTTCATCTCTTCTGCTTTCCCCCTTTGGGAATTCCTGTGGAGATGCTAATGATGATAGCTGACATGGATCAAAGACAGACAAAACATAAGGGAGAAACTGCCGAAAGGAACCTGGCTGATGGAACAGAAACCCCCTGAGGAATACACTCCTGAATGATTAAAAAGCATCAGCCTAGACTTTAAAGTTTGAAGTTGAATGCTGGTGAGGAAGCTACCCTCCTACTTGCTGATGAAACAGGGAGAAAGGTTCAACTTGTCAAGCTTCCTGCCTTATTATATTGAAATAGGAACCAGCCTGGTTATTCACTCCCCCCCCCTTTTCTTCTCAGCACCATAAGAGAGTTTAGGCTGAACTTAAGTTCATATAGCAGCGCAAATCTCTGTGGGTGTGAAAATGAATCTCTTTTCAAATAGATTGTAAAGCTTTCTGAAGACGTGAGTTATTTCTCTTCTTTCTAAAACCTAAGCAAGGTTTTGCCCACCACTGCTAATCAGTACGTTTGTTGACACTGATGTAGTTTCCAGTTTAACAAATAAAAAGTGAAAATGAAGGACCCTTGTCTTCACATGGTGCTTTCAGAATTTTGATTGAGTACCTAGGATAGCTCAAAGTTGTTAATAAGCTTAAAAAGTACCTGGTTACGTGGGACCTCCAACTGAGAGATGACAGAAGTAGGGCAGGAAGGTCAGATTAATGTGAAACTAAAAGGGCAGTGAAAGCCAGAAATTAAAGTGGATCTTTTTTAAAAAAGTTAAAACGCTAAATATAAGCAGGTAATTCCATTTGTTAAAACACAAAACCACAAACCTTCAGTTTCCTCTGCAAAATGAGTTGGAGAGGTAGGGTTTGAACCAGGCAATGCCCTTATGGTCCTTCCAGCGCCGATACCTGGGATATTACACCGGGTTCAGGATGCCAGTTTGTTGAGTAGAAGGTGGCTGAACTTGATCATTTACTATTTGCATGTTAATCGACTGTTTTCTCTCAGTCCCCGCCCCAACACTGGCCCTTTTAAGACTATGATTTCCCAGACGGTACCTACAATTTAGCACAACGTCCCGAGGAGGCGCCCAATAAATGTTTGCTGAATTAATGAATACCTGTGGACTTACGTTCTACCGCGGTTATTCGGTAGCGCCCCGGGGGTCAGATCCCGAGTCCAATTCAGGGCCAGGTAGAGGTCAGGCTCCCTCCCTCCGTCCGTTCCCCACTTCCCTCCCCCCATAACCAAGTCTAAACTGGTGCCTGCATAGTGATTAGCTGCGGTGGTCTCCCTGCCGGAGAACCTGCTCTAACGATCTGGGACAGGCATCTGCCCTTAACAGAGCTACGGCTGCGTCGGAACCGAACCCCGAGAGCGCCAGGCATTGCCTCACAGCAGATCCAAACAGTTAATCTTTGAAGACGCGGGTGGACCAAAGAAAGCCGGAACCCTCGGGTAGCTACGCTGTCCTTTGTAAAACCTGTCCCCCTCTTCCTCCCACAGTATCTCGTTGCTATAGCAACTGTGGACGTCACCAACCTGACAGCGGAAGTAGGACAAAAAGAGTACACGTCTTCAACCCAGGGACAGATCCATTGCGCAGGCGCTTTAGTCTTCTCGGGCCGTAGCGCTCGTCTGTAGATGTACTCTGCGTCTGCGCATTAGTTGTTTCGCGCCCTGGCCTGCGTATACGCCTGCGCAAAGGCCAAATCGGGTGGGAGCTGGGCTACAGCGGTGCGCAGGCGCCAAGGCTACATCCGGCCTGGTCGTTATTTTCGCCAGGAGTTTGGGGATCGCAGGCCGCAGGACCGATTGTGTAGTCATGTCGGCGTCGGTAGTGTCGGTCATCTCGCGGTTCTTGGAAGAGTACTTGAGCTCCACTCCTCAGCGTCTGAAGTTGCTTGACGCGTACCTCCTGTACATACTGCTGACCGGGGCGCTGCAATTCGGTTATTGTCTCCTCGTGGGGACCTTCCCCTTCAACTCTTTTCTCTCGGGCTTCATCTCTTGTGTGGGGAGCTTCATCCTAGCGGGTAATGATTCTATACGTAATCGCAGTATAACAATGTGTTTTCTTTGGTGCGCTGCTTTTATTCCCACAGCACTATCTTTTATATCAGATCACCGCCTCGTGAAGTTATGAGAGGAGCCTGCATTGCCCTCTTTTGTGAGTGGGGAAATTGAGGCTCAGAAAGGTTGCCACAAGTCTAATACCAAACAGCCGCCTAGGAGATGGAATTCTGGAGAACCCCCTTCATACTCCTGCTCAACTTGGTGATCCACTTCACTTCATATTGGTCCAGGAAAACTCCATTTTAACTTTCACTTAGCTTTAACATACCTTTAAAGTTGGTAGACCTTTAAAATGGGAAACCCAACTCTGAAGCATCTCTGTCACCTCGGCCTAATCACTGCTAACGGCTAGTGAAACGGTTCAGTGAACAGTGTAAGAAATAGATAGGTGGTTTGCTTGTTGAATCAACCTTTACTTGACTTTGGCTTTTAGCTGCCCTTACTTTTTTTTTTTTTTAAGATTTTATTTATTTATTTGCCACAGAGAGAGGGCCAAGCAGGAGAGTGGCAGGCAGAGGGAGAGGGAAAAGCAGGCTCCCTGCTGAGCTGGATGTGGGGTTTGATCCCAGGACCCTAGGATCATGACCTCAGCTGAAGGCAGATGCTGAACTGACTGAGCCACCCAGGCAACCCTCCTACTCATTTCTTGTGGATGAAGCTGTTACTTCATTGTCCTGAACTCACATAGCTCTATTTTAGCAGTATTATTCCGAATCCCAGCATTTGATACCTTGTAGACTGCCATATTTAACAAGAGCTTACTGTCCCATAAATTTTTTCCAAAATCTGAACTTTCTGGCCCAGTAGGAACTCAAGTGAATGCTAAGTTCAGGCCTGGCCCATGAGAGTTAGCCAGTCCACTTTATAGGTGGCCACCAGATGGGCTTGTCCAGTCAGTGGTATTGCCTTCTCTCAGACCTTGAGAACATGCCAGAACTCATTTTTTTTTTTCCAGTGTGATTGTTACCAGTCAGACCATCAATTGTATTTTGAGTCTAATACAAGATACTAGCTTTGGGGGTGCATCAGGTTTATGTTTCTTGTCCTCAGTGAGTTTACAGTCTAGTTGGGGCACAGACAAAATACAGCATTAGAATCATTTATAGTGCTTCTCTGCTTATAGATGTATGGAATGCTTTTTACACAAACGCTGGTTCAGACTCATACCAGGGTTACTCTACCTTCTCTTTCAGAACTTAAAATAAGCCTAAGGACTTAATGACATGTGCACTAGCCTGGTCTGGAGTTGTAGAGTTAATAGCCTGTTAACTGGATATTTCATTATGATCTTTGAGTTTTGTCCTAGATGACCAAGACTCGGTTCTCTGTGGCAGCATCCTGGCTATCAGGAGTTCAGATGTTACCACCGTCATATACACCAGATAAGCTACCCTTTTTGTTCCAGTTTCCTGACCTCCTACCCTGCCCCCCCACATCTCCACTGCTCCCTCCACCCCCCCAGTCTGGACTGTTGGTGACTAAGAATTTTATTATCCGGACTGGAGAAGGAATTTTGAGAACCTCTGGTGACTTTTGTTTGATGATTTTGTCTTCCAGGTCTGCGAGAGTAGGAATGGGGTGGGGCCTAAGTTGATTGAAAAGAAAATTTCTTGCTGAAGTCACCCTGGCTTCATAAGCCTCTTAAGGTTAAGAATGCCTCCTCAGGGCTACATGAAAGAGCGTGATTTACTGAAGAGTGGGTATAGACTACAGTTGTAGATTATTAGTGTGATAAAACCAGAAGATTTTTTTGAACAGATAGTTTTTTCTTATGCCAAGTCCTGCTTTTGAGCCTCTTGTAGCTAAAGATGAGTTGGCAGACTCCCTTTCCTCCTCCCCAGTCTTTGAAGAGAATGTCTAGTGAAAGGGCACAATAATAGTGGAGTCAGTATGGGGGACTGATTTCCAAAGCTGTTAGATAACAGGTAATTGGGTCAGAGAAATGAAAGTCGCTTCAGGAGAAGGAAGGATTCATGACGATTCATAGTTACCGTGAAAAGGTATCATTTGCATTTCTTTTGACAGCATTGCCCTTAACTAGATCCTAACTTTTGTGCAGTTTGTTAGCCTAGATCCTCAACAGGAGATGTTTTAATGGGAAATTTGAAATTTGGAGTTTATCCTTCGTTGTGATTATCGGGAAGGGAAGACTTGTACCTATTTACTGTGCTGGGTTTCTCATTTTCTGGGGTTTGTTTCCTGTTGGAAGAGAAGGGAGGAGCCTGTTTAGCTGGAGAGTGGGAATTGTAGGAGATAACGATGAAGATTTAGGTAGTGCTGGATGCTAGAGCTTTGACAGGGCCAGGCCAAGGATTTTATTCTGTAGGTAATAGGAAAGCATCTAAGGATTTTATTTTATTTTTAAATTTAATTTTATTTACTTTTAAAAGTTTATTTAGTTAAGCAATCTCTACACCCAACGTGGGGCTTGAACTCACAACCCTGAGACGAAAAGTTGCATGCTCTTTGGACTGAGCCAGCCGTGCGCCTACCCCACCCACCTTTTTTTTTTTTTTTTAATTTGAGTAAGGGAGAGACTTAGAATTGTGTTAGCCGACACTAGATGAATTGGAGGGAAAAGTTACTTAGTTTGGTTTCCTGATTTCTTTTTGGCAGTCTATTTTCTTCCATTCCTTCTGCATGTGTTAATTAAGCATATGCTCTTTGAAAAATGATCAGTATATTTTTAACCAATATAGAATGCTATCACACTTTTTTAAAGATTTTATTTATTTATTTATTTATTTGAGAGAGCGAGAATGAGAGGGAGAGAGAGCACATGAGAGGGGGGAGGGTCAGAGGGAGAAGCAGACTCCCCGCCGAGCAGGGAGCCCGATGCGGGACTCGATCCCGGGACTCCAGGATCATGACCTGAGCCGAAGGCAGTCGCTTAACCAACTGAGACACCCAGGCGCCCTGCAT